ACCCTCCAAATGGGACATCGATTTGAGTTGAGGGGCCAGTTTTGGCTTAGGGATTTGGGCCGTAAGCTTCTTGACCCGCAATTGACGGGAAAACGACAAAATCTGTGTTGTTGAGGGGGGTCAGCCTTACTTAAGGACAACATCGAACCCAGTGTACCACCCGGTTTACCTATAGGAACATGTTTTGGGTACCGCGGTATTCAGGAACAAACCTGCTGACACCCGTTGCGCTCCCGTCGTTTTTTTGGTCAACACTTGCAATCAAGGTGCCAGATGTCCAAATTCACAAGGTATCTTTCCAGAGTTCCAGACCATTAGAGCGCATTTCGCAATTAATCAAGCGCCAACGCAGTGAAGGGTGCTGCAAACAGGGTGGAGCAGCAAGCAAGCAAGCAAGCAAGCAGAGGGCATTGCAAACAGAGTGGAGTAAGCAGTGCAACATCAAAAAGGGGACTGCTTCTGAGGGGACTGCTTAGGAAGAAGCGGCAAGCTCAGCTGGGGTTTGAGGCTGCCCGCTTGTTTTTGCGCGACGCTTGGTTTCTTGGTGCACCTGGATTGAGCACATGTGGCAGAGGGGTCTTGAGGCACCACTTAAGGTACAACACCCGGCAGCACTTCAAATGGTCTGAGCTGCTGGTTGTATATATATATTTTGCTGCTTCTTTGCGGCTGGCTCTTGGCTTTGAGCAACGCTTAGTTTTTTTGTGCTCTATGAGGCACCACGTAGGAAAAATCGTTGTTTTGAAGACCTGGCTGATCAACCTACAACCTGCAGCTCAAGGCTTGAAAGCTTTTGTGCAATGCTCAGGGTTTGTTTTTCTTTCTTTCAGGTTTTTGGTTTCTCTGGCGCATACCCGCTTTTGCAGACTGGAAGAAGCGGCAGCATGTCTGGGTCTTGAGGCACTACTTAGGAAGAAGCTGTAGCACTCGAGGTTCTTGAGGCACTACTTAGGAAGAAGCTGTAGCACTCTGAGGGGGTCTGGAGGCACTACTTAGGAAGAAGTGGCAAACTCTGAGCTGTTGGTTACATAGGGTTTGTTTTTTTGGAAGTTGCGGTTTTGTAGTCCCTCGACTGCAGGGCTTTTTGAGGCATCAAAATCTTGGAACCTTTTGCTTTTGTGTGTTTCTTTACACATGCTCGGGGTTTGCTTGTTCCTGTAGGTAGGAAGAAGCGGCCAGCACTTCCAAAGGGTCTGAGCAAGCAAAAGGTGGGGGGGGGAGTTGGTTGCATAAAACTTCTGGCCAGGGGCTTGCTTTTTATTCAGGTTTTGGTTTCCTTGGCGCATACCCAGGGTCTGGACGGTTTAGCAGGCTGGAAGAAGCGGCAGCACCTCCGGGGTCTGAGCTGTTGGTTGCATAGGGTTTGCAGAGGGCTATTTTTGGAGGCATCAAATTCTTGGAACCTTTTGCTTTTGTGCAATGCTCGGGGTCTGGGTTGTTTTTACACATGCTCAGGGTTTGCTTCTTTTCTGTAGGTAGGCGAAGCGGCCAGCACTTCTGAGGCACCACGCGGCAGCACTTCCAAAGGGTCTGAGCAAGCAAAAGGTGAGGGAGTACTGAGCTTTTGGTTGCATACAACTTCTCGCCCAGGGGTTTGCTCTTTTGCTGCTTTGAAGCATTGACACTCAAGGTTTGTGCGACGTGCTGAGGGATGATAAGGCAAACCTGAAACAAGCTCAACCATCTGTTTCTTCACGGGTCTGAGAAGTTGCACACACTTTTGGTGCAGGATGAAGGGTTGGGAGACTGGCGTAACACCCACGGCTGACAACCCTGTCGACCTCGCCTTGTTGAAGAAGGTTGACCTGTCGACCGTCGTCCAGAAGTGCCACTGCTGTGGCAACGAGCCTTGGAGACGAAAGCCGCCCCCACCTGAACCCCCCAACCCTGACCACATCCCCATAACTGTCAGCCGCACCCCTGGATCAGGCCTGTTTATCTGCATGGAGTGCACCCCACAGAATACCAGTTCTGGGCGACCCAAATGCCAACCTGGCAGCGACAAGCCCATTCCATACCGCCGCGTCTGGTGCATCCCCTGCATTAAGAACATCGACGGAGCTTTAAAGAGCACCTTCAAGCAGGACGGCTCATGGGAGCAGATCCGGTCCAAGTGCTGGCACTGTACCTTATCCAAGGGCAACTGTCACCCCAAGTGTCCCCAGACTGTGCGCAGCAAGAAGCGGACGGCGGAAGCCCCTCCCACGGCCCCCAAGAAACAACGGACCGTGCTGCTGGCCCCTCCCCTCCCAACTTGCACACAGATCCAGCGGGACACTGACGTCCAGAAGTTGGCCACAGAGATCCTGAAACAAAACCTCTTCAGCCCCCATCCTCAAGCCTTTGTCTACTTCATCCCCGATTTCAAGTGTAAGAACGGGACGTTCAAGCTGATCGTACCCAAGGTGACTAACCCCCCAAAGTTCCCCAAACCGGTGAGCATGTGCCGCCCGAACCAAACCGACGGCGACGGGGTCCTGCGTTGCCCCACGTGTACCGGGGAATGCATCCACATCCAAGTGCTGAAGCGCGTCCTGGAGCTGACAAAAGCAGGGCGATGCACGCCCCCCACCACCCCCGAGATGCAGTTCGGCCACGCGGGACCCCTGAAGCTCTCCAACGGGCTGACGGAGTTCTGGGCCGTTGTGGCGGGGAACGAGAAGTGGGTCATGGGGGCAAAGAGAGGCGAGGGCTGGGTCTGCCAGGCGTGTCCAAGCAATCCAAAATGCGGGCACATCTCCAAAGTGACCGGCGAACCTGGCGAGGAGCTAAAACTCTCCAAACGCTACGATCGAGATTCGGCCATCGAGTGGCAAGACATCCCCCTAGAGACCCCAGTCCCTCCCAAGCCTGACGACTTGAACGTCGACGTGTGCGACGAGTGTCGCCAGAAGTACTCGCACACGAGGGCGATCGGGGAACACCAGTTTGACGGCTGCTCCCACAAGGGAAAGACGGTCCACGTCTGCACTCCTTCCTGTCAACAATACCCATGCTCCGAACCTCACAAGGCTACACGGGAGCCTCTGATTGGAGCGGATAACGTCGCCACCTGGCAAAGAGACAAGCTGCTGCGGAAGGCCGCGGAGGGGTATTTTAGCCAGTCACCACCGGTGTTAGAGGAAGCACCCTGTGGTTTCAACTGGCGGAGACGCACGGTCACTGCAACCATCTACAACGACACGGACTCAGTCGAGGTTGACCTCTGCGTGTGGCACTGTACGAGACTGGGTTTTAACAAGTGCTGCTCCCTCCAACCCATCCTGAAAGGGTTATACTTTCAGGCGCCCTCACCCGCTCGTTTCAGTCACCTAGTCCTCGTCCGAGCGGTGGCTGACATGGTCTACAAAGGCGCCACCTTCCAGGGGATCGAGCACGTAGCCAAGCTGGAGGCTAACTGGATGATGGGTGAGTAACTTGTGGTCCTACACTCCATCAATGGCAAATTCCTTGTATTGAAATTGGAGTTGAATATGCACGAACTTGTTACTCGATGTGCTTTTCTGATTCTATCAATTCTCTTTGCAGGTGAGAAGCCGGGGCTGACGCGCCAAGTTCTACAGGGGTACATCCGTCATCTTCTCGCCCGCGAGCCCCGTCCCGCACTCCCCCAGCAACCTTCCTCCAACCCCTGGACCCCTGCCATCAGAGAGCTGTTGCGAGAGCGGCCCGACCTCGCCTGCGAGCCCGCCGACCCTAAAGCTCTTGTCGGCCGGACCTTCTGGAAGCTGTTCCCGGAGGATCAGCAATGGTGGCGTGGGCGTGTCATAGGCCACATGCTGCACACCAGTGCTTTTGAGCTGTGGCCCATGTACCAGGTGGGCCATCTCAATGAGTCGGTTTGGCAAATGCTCTAGATAGAAGCAGCCATCTGTGCATGTCACCGGATAGCTAAATGCCTACGAAAGTTGCTGACACTTACTCGGTTTCATTGCAGGTGGTGTACCCTTCGACCCCGTTGAAGGAGAGCGGCAAAGAAGATCCAAACAAGCACGAGAAGATGACGTGGCGGGACCTGCAGCACCGACTGAACCCGCCCGAGGTTGGGCGCTCACTGATCTGTAACCATCATCACTCTCTTGATTGGATTATACACATGCTGTGATCGAAGTGAAGGAGGGCACCTTAACTGCTGTTTGAGCTTTTTGCACGCGCCTTACAGGTGCCGTTTGTGGGGGATGACTTTGATCGGGAGTACTGGGGGCCTCACAAACGGAGCTGGTCCCCACCAGGCTGGGAGGACGAGCCCCCCCCCGCTCCTCAGCCGCCCCAGCTCTCCACCAGCACTGCCCAGCCTTCCTCCCCCGCTCCTGAGCCACCCCAGCCCTCCACCAGCACTGCCCAGCAGCCCTGGCCGGTTTGCCCCGACTATAAGGCGTATCCAGAGGCCCTCTACATCGACTGCAGAGAGGCGCACATGCGGCACCGCTTCAAAGACCCTGTCTCAGGACAACCTGTCAACCTCTTGCCCATCACCTACCCCTTTCCCAACCGAGTTGTAACGCCAAACGTCCATCTAGAGGGGGCAAAGCTAAAGAACACCTTCAAGGGTGCTCCGAAGGTTGTGAAGCAGTCCAAAGTACGCGGTGTCTTGAAGCGGTGGAGTGGTCATGCGCCCGTCACAAAGCGGTACGTGGGGAGGACGGTCCAGATCATCCGCACACCCCAGCCTGCCCCTCTAGACGAGGCTGATGTGGAGGTTAGTTCTAGCCCAATTATATTGACTGACTTTGCTTTCAACGATCTGCATACCGCGTCGTTCTATGAAAGTCTGCCAATGTGCTGCAATTTCTTTCACTCCCATGGAGCTTCATCTCTAGACTGCTGCAACATATAAAACCAACCAGGAGCACCGATACCGCGAATTGTGAGAGTTTTAACGCGGGCTCATCGTGCTTTTGTGCAGGTACTGAAGAGGCTCCCATACTGCGTCCGGGCGTTGATCGAGTATGTCCACAAACCGGGCGAGGTGCCACCCACATGCCCCAACCCTGCCTACGCGTCACTGTTCTACCACCTTGGCTACATCCACAGCGACACAAACCTCCTCGGCTACGACGCTCAGGACGTCATAGTGCGACTTCTGGTGACTCTCAAGTTATCTGGAGGCCAGAAGTCCATCGAGATCAGTGTCGAGTCTGATACAATCCTCCACGTCAACGCACCATCCCTGCGACACATCCTTATGAGCTCAATGGCTCCTAAGCAGGCGACGAAGGGTTTCGACCTGAGCGACCCGTCCAAGAAGCGGCGAGGCACGGGATATAAAGTGTTGGTCCAGACTCTCAAAGTCCTTGCCCCGCTCCTCCAGCACCTCCTTCATCTGTCCTTTGCAAACAAGGACTACAACACCTCTTCTCAAGCGTCGGCGATGCTCTGTGAAGCTTTGGGGGTGCCGGTGGGGTATATCTGGTTGGAACCCTTCGCCGCCGGAGGCTCTGGTGAGGTTTTGGGAGGGCACCCTGTGACCGCAGACAAGGCGCTGAGTCTAATCGGGAAGATCAAGGAGCTGATGTCCGGCCCGTGCCGGGGTACTTCAGAGGGGGTCCTAGCCGGGGAGGCCTACGTGGTGAATCAGCACAGGCTGAGCTCCAGCAATGTCTACCACCATGTGTTCCGGGACGTCCCCCAGTTCGCAGGGCTCGATGCAGCTGACGGCATGTGCCTCGGGGGTGAAAATTGGGACAAGTGCCTCACGGAGGAAGGACGTATTTGCATCCTGCAAGAACAAGGGATGAAACTCGACGTGAGGATTCCCCAATCTACCTTTGTAGTGAGAATCTAATTCGGACCCCAAGAAGTGAGGAAGGCATGTATCTGTGTGCAATCGGCAATCGACAGGAAGGTTGCAAGAGATTCGCAGTGTCATTCACCTCAAATTGTGTTTATCCTCCTGACGGATGCTTTGGCATCGTGCAGGAGGCCGAGGAGAAGGTGGCGATCATGTGGGAAGCAAAGAAGAAGGCAGCAAAGGCGGCTGAGGAGAAGAAGGTGATTATTACATGCACTGTATGCCAAAGGAAAGCACTATTATCAGGAAACATGAGGATGCTTCTGTCGCCTGCCTTCTGTGTGGTTGTCAGCCAGGCAGACTCATGGAACAGATCGCTTTTTACAGAAACCGCCCAAACCCGCGACGGACGAGACCGCTGGGATCATGGTCGTCACGTGCAAGCATCGCTTCGTGTACTACTATCACGTACTTCTCCGCCACGAGTCTCTACGCGACGTCTTCACCTTCCTCGTCACTCGCTTCGAGCACCGTCCTCCACGTTTCATCATCTACGACAATGCGTGCGAGTTGTCGCGCTACTGTGAAGGGGTGAGTTTGCACTTGGTTGGCTTTTTTCGGAACAACGATACATGTTGAGCCTACATTATGCTGGTGTCTGGCAGGTTTGAGTGAGGCATGTTTCTGATTGGACATCTTGTGCATTTGCAGCGCTGGCCGGAGTTCTTCGCCGAGACCACGTTCCTGACGGACCGCTTTCACGGAGTCAATCACCTGTGCTCCATCGAATTCAAGTACCACAAGCAACGCCTGCAGGGGCGTGAGGAATTTCCGGGGCCAGATCAAGATTCAGTGTCCGAGCTGATCAACAGGCTCATGTCGCGATTCGACAAGACGGAGCAAAGGGCGAACATCAACACGGGGATGCTGGTTTACGACTACTATATCCAGGTTCACAACACAGACCTCTTGGCGAACTGGCCAAAGATGCGGCAGTCGCAGGTACGTCTGAACAACATGTTAGTTTTCCCACCCCCCACTGCAATTTGATATAGGGGATTGATGAACCCTTGCCCTGCCACGACATCACTTCAAACCATCATGACGTTCTTATCGCCTTTGTGCAGGGCACCAACATCCAGGGATGACCTACGATTTCCTACATTGCGGGTGCATACCAGGTGAGATCTTTCTCTGTCCTTCTAAGCGGCGACAACATCGCCTGTATTCTTTCCGTACCACGTGAGAATCTCCGTGTCTCTCGCGACCGTTTTAATCAGTTCCATATAGATCCTGCACTTGTGTTGCCTCCAACGGGCGTTCTGCTGACGCTCGGTGTCTGCCGCGTTCGCGAAACGGGGGACACTGGACGTCCGCGAGTCCGCACCATCGATCACATGCACGATTCTGCCACGTTGCTTGACATCGAACATGTATCCCTTGTCTCCTTTCTTTTCCTCAGCCTCTTTGTCTGTGAGCAGCCTGCCGACGAATTCTCCGATTATATACCCCTTTTTCAAACGCCGGTTGCTGTAGAGCCCGCTGCCTTTCACACCTTTGCTCGCCAAGAACCTGCTCCTTTTCACCTTCACATCATGGTCAGAGTAGCGTTCCGTCACGCCGTGTCGTGTTCGATTACTTGCCTCTTCAAACTTTCCCATACAATAACATGATTTTTTCTTCCTGGAATTGCAGGTGGTGTACAGTATCAAGTAGTATAGGAATTGGCGTGTATTGACCAATAAACAATTGACTTGCAGTGACATATGACTTGAATGCATTCAACCACAAAACCACAAAAGGCTTTGCATCCAGACATGTCAATCCAGCGCGTATCATATTTCAAGCATGCGGGAACCGTTTGCTGTATCTTGTGTTTTCCACATCATATAGACGACTGGTGAGACATGACCAGCATCATCAGTAGAATTCCTCGTTGTTCCGGCTGGGTCTTGCGATGTCATAGTGAGCATGTGATTACGGCAGTGAATGCGCATGATCTCTCTGCAATCTATGGCGCTATGAAGAGCATACACGTACTACTCGGCAGATTCCCTCAGTGTGATGAGGACTTTCAAATTGCCACAGTCGCTATTCTTAGAGGGTTCAGAGCGATCGGTAGTGCAGTCCCCGAATTTCAAGATCTCAATAACGTGTACTGTCAAACACTGTCAAACATTGTCCTCGGTCAGCTGCCAAGGTCATGATTCGACTGGATGAACCAGCAAGCTAATTTGGAGACACCTCCACATGCGCATGTGAGAGTCCAGCAACTGATCATCGACGTCTCATTGGAAATATTCTGGTTGTGGCGTGTCGAACAGTTGCCTGACCTTGAGGACTGCTGTTTACAATTACGAGTGGCATGGCAGTTTGTGAGGGTTGGAAGCTGCTAGGCGGTTGGATGGAGGAA